TTATAATGAAGTAATGGGGATTGGAAGAATTACATATGTTAAGGGCTACCGTATTCAGCAATGTCGTGAGGCTCTAGTAACTTTTCTTGTCTATTGAGTTGTATTTATCTTTTTTGTAGCTATCTAATTATCTAATTACAGTTCGATACGTAATGAACCAATAACGAAGTAGATAGAGATTGAAAGGATTATATATATTAAAGGCTACCAAATTCAGCAATGTCGTGAGGCTTTAGTAACTTTTCTTATCCATCGAATTGTATTTATCTTTTTGTAGCTTTCTAATTATTTAATTATAGTTCGACACGTGATGAACTGTCCTTTATAATGGAGTAGTCTAAATATTCTTATCGTTACCATATAGATGGAACCGTCGGTACCAGTTTCAAAGTAACGATAATAATACCACTTTTAGAAAGTAAAAAAAATTAAAAAAAAAAGTGTACTTTCCTATTTTTTAAATTTCTTCAAATGGAAGAATACTAATGAAACTTAAATAATTTCAACGATACTTTGTCAAAATACTAACGGTTTCATCTAAAATTAACAATAAGAGTTTTTGTTCAAACATTTAAGAATATTATTAGAACTTTAAAAAATACGAGAATAATTTTAAGATTAAATACAGAGATAAGTAAAGACAGCGCGAAAATTCGATTATTCCAATAATATTTAGGTACGTAAAACATATTTGGGTTCAATGTATATAATAATTTTGTAAAGCCATACTCGAAGTTGAATATGAGCTCTAGGGGCCATGGCCCCTCCAAATAAATATATATCAACTTTCCAAAATAATACATTATATATAATAAAATAAAAATTATAGTTAAAATATTGTACTATGTTGCCTTTTTTTAATTGAATTACACTACGTCGTTTTAAGAATATTTCTGCTTATGTTTTTCTGAATTTTCCATGTGATCTTGCATGCCTTAAAAACTGTTACATATATCAAGAAAATTATTGTTATTATTTATTAAAAATGTTTGCTAACTAAATTTGGAATAAAACCCAAAATGATATTTTTATTTATTTTTTAAAATAATTCAACGCACATCAAAGATCAGATTGATTAGAGAAAGAAACGAAACATTTTTTATAAGTGTGTGAAAATTTCTCCCTAGTAAATGCATTTTAAAATCATAAGGCTGGCGACGATACGTAACGACCAAAAACAAAAAATATCTGCTAACAGTAGGTTATCAGTGTACAACATCCATCGTGTCATATCATAAACTAGTGATACTTTCAACTACGGGACTTTCACTATCTACCACTTCGCTCAACTACCCAAAACTTATATTTCACAATTTAAACTGTTCTTATTTCGCTTGTCGAAAAATGTTCAAGTTAAAAAAGTACGACAATAATGTGTTTTTAAGGAGAAAAAAAACTGTATTTTTTAAAGAACTAAAAAGACAAGCCCCAGACAGAAATACTTTTCTTTTAAAAAAAAACACTTTTTAACCCTCTAAAAAAGACATGTCCCAGACAAGATAAAATTCTTGTGCATGAACAATGACCATTATTTTTAAGTAGATTCGAGAACAATGACTTCCAAGTTAGCTGCAACGTTTGAAGTGGCCATGTCTTTTTGTATCCTTTTAAGTGATTGGCACGTGGACGAACTTATATAGTTCAAAAAAAAAAAAATTATTCAATGAAACTGGTACGAAACTGGTACGAGCACGAGCATTTATGTGAGGTGCGGTGGTGTAGGGTGGAAGTATCGGGAGGGTGCAGTGTCGAGAGAGGAATGTCGTGGTTCTGTGAGTGTGACAGTAATGGCATGTAGAGAAGACCCATTTACCGAAGTATTACGTCCATTTCCTCAATGCCTCCTCCACATGTCCTTGTTCCTCCATGCAACGTGCTTTTGCTTCCCTATGCCACACCCTCCTCCCTCGTTGACATAGGATTTTGGTCGCATTTTCAAACCAATTCGATAAACGAGAGCGAGTTTGTGATGGAAGAGTTATCTGTCACAATTGTGGTGTACGTAATTGATGATGAAATTATATGATGTTTGAACAATTGAAAATGGTTGAACATTGATAATTAAACCGTTTGCATGTATGAAAGAGAATGTAAGTGAGTTAGAACAAAACGAAAGTGAGCTAACGCCAATAAAATGACATGTGATGTATTGATTGTGATGTATTGATTATCTGAAACTGGACATAGTTGATGATGAAATTATACGATATTTGAGTTAGTGAATTTGATTGATATGTACGTAAGTATTTGAAGACGGGTTAACAGAAGAATGGTAAAATTAATTGATAATTGAACTGTTGGATGTATGAAAGATAACGTAAGCGGGCTCGAACAAGACGAAAGTGAGCTAACTCCAAGACGACGTGTGATGTACTGATTGTGATCTATTAATTATTTAAAACCGTATGCAGTTGACGATGTTTGAGCTACTGAAAACGGTTGGATTTTATGTACGTAAGTATTTGAAGACAGGTTAATAGAAGAATGGTAAAATTAATTGATAATTGAACTGTTGGATGTATGAAAGAGAACGTAAGCGGGCTCGAACAAGACGAAAGTAAGCTAACTCCAAGACGACGTGTGATGTACTGATTGTGATCTATTAATTATTTAAAACCGTATGCAGTTGACGATGTTTGAGCTACTGAAAATGGTTGGATTTTATGTACGTAAGTATTTGAAGACGGGTTAACAAAAAGAGCGGTAAAATTAATTGATAATTGTGTTGGATGTATGAAAGAGGACGTAAGCACGTTTGAATAAGACGAAAGTGAGGTAAGTCCAACCGGACGACGTGTGGAGAAGAAAGTGGAGCCATGAGGCACCAAAATTGCGGGAGAGAGGGGGATGGTCAAAGGAGGAGGGAAGGAGGTGAGAGGGTGAGGGAGATCACATGGAATGGGCCATGCGTGAGGCGTGGATTGGCGGAATGGTTACTGCAGCTCATGGGCTTGGCTTGCGCTCATCGGTTATGCCATCGCTTCCTCTCCCAGCCCCCTCCTGTACTCATGTCTTCTACGCCTGTGGGCTCTACCATCACTGTTTCCAAGCACCAATATAAACTTTATAGACGAAAATTGAGACATGAAACAGTGTCATTAAAGTAATTTGGGATGAAAATTGAAACTTGAATGCTACTACCTATACAATGTCATCGTCATACTGTTCCATGTGCCAATTTTTGTACACTATTTTGATGGATCTCTCGATAAGAAATCAACCCAAGAGAAAATTTTGATATCAAATGATAAGAAATTGCTATAAGGGAAGTTGTGGAGTGATTCAAATTTCAATCTAAGTGTTTTTAGCTTGAGATATTTGATCAACAAGTTAATCCGAATTTTACTTTTCCTTGGAGTGATTCTTTATCATTAGAGCGGCTAAATGTTTTTACCTCTTCTTTTAGCTAATGATTAAGTTTCTTTGCAATTTTATGTAGTTTTGATTCCATGTTTAAAATCTTTCAAGTTAGACATGATCGATTTTGCTTATGGAGTGATTCGAATCTTAAACAATTGTTCTTATCTTGGGATATTCGATCAACAAATTAATCCAAATCTTACTTCGATTCCTTATCATCTCTACTTCAAGAATAGTTTTGAAACGTTTATGAAATATCGTAGAGTTGAAAAGTATTTTTGTAATTCAGTCTTCAATATATTATCTTGATGACTATTCTACCAACCTAATTTCTTTTACTTTAGCATTGATTAAGAGATTTAGCGACTCATAGCTGGATTGAACTATTCGAGTTAAATTATTGGATTACAAACTTATTTCGATTCAGTTCAAGTTGTATTGAATGAAATGTCTCTTGTGTAACAATCATCTTGCCAACTAAAACATAGCTCAAATGGTCGTGACAAAATAGAAGCTAAAAGGGGACACGGATCCACATTTGTAGGTCTAATGGTAACGTAGAATAGTACAATATATATGAAGGGATTGCAATCAATAAGGGGAGCTACTTGTTGCTTGTCCTTAAGGTACTCTTGTCTATCTACTTGCATTCATATAGACACGAAATTTCTCACATTTTAACCCTATCTCTGGCCTCTTTTGACCACATCTAATCATTTTTTATGAAAATTATTGAGATACATATATTACGTAACTGTATTTGTCATTACGTAACTGTATTTTGTCATTACGTGTGTAAATATTTCATTACTCACTCTTTAAAATTGTCTTTTTTGATGTTAAAAGAAAAATTGAGCTTTTATTGAAAAGAACGAAAGAATACAAAAGAGGTTGGTAGTGGTCAATGATGACACGAGCCATTAAAAAAAGAGCGTATATAAAGGAAACTCGAGAAAGGAACAAAACCCACACTAATAAATTTTTTCTGTCACTCATGTTTTCTTATTTTATTTCGCTATTTCTGGCTTTTTAATTTTTTTTCTTCTCGAGGTTAAGATATTTATGAAATTAATGATAATTAAAAATCATTGAATTTACAAATTGATAATCGAGAAAAGGAAGTCAAGTTTATTCAATTAGGTCAAAATATTTGAACCCATGTTTAAATAAGTGGAACTAGCCCACACTACTCATAGAAAACTCTATAAATAGACGAACTCTCTTTCGTTTTGAAGTTCACTAATTTGAGAGAGTATTAAAAAGATTTCAAAAAGCTCAGAACACTCCCTGGAGCTCTTGAAATCCGGGTTGTTTGCACAACAACACAAATTGATGTTTTATTCTCACTCATACAATGATATCATCCAACATAAGATTTTAAAACAACACGAAGGGGATGAAATGGATGAACTGAGGGAAGTGGAAGTGGCAGCAAGTGACTGGTAATGCTTGAATTACACATAAATGGGTTTTAAAATCAAATGAAGTTTATTATTGTTATTAATCAAATTCTTCGAGTTATCGAATTTTTTGAAAACCCTTACAAGAAGTATCATTCCGATGGTAAAGGATGGTACCTTCAACCGAAATTTAGGTAGGGCAATTCCTTGAAATAAAGACAATCGTCAATGCATCGTGAATGATGTCGTCGCCAACATGAGCATAGCTCGGTCAATCTCCATTCTCCAAAAGAAAAGAGAAAACTCTTAGCTCGGTCATTATTATGATGCAAAATCAGAAAAAAGAATGGAAAAGAGATGAGGTTCATGAGTTTCACTTAAACTTCCACCCATGGATGGGACAATTGTAAACTCAACGACTGAAACAGAGTTCTTTTTCTGACAAACACAACAGGAGTTGAGGGACAAGTTCTTGATCACTTCTTACAACCAGATCTTGTCACTTGGGTTGTCCCTAAAGACAACAGAATCATGTTACGAAATTAGAAAAAATACTACTTAACTAAAATTAGATTACAATCATATAATATTTCAGAACGGTTAACTCTTCAACTTTAATTGTTTCAAAATAACTCTTCTATTGAGTTTTCCATTAAAATGAAGACAAAAATGTAACATAGTAATGACCTGTTGAACAATGGAACATGTAGCATAAGTAATAAGTTTCGATTATACCCTTCACATTTTGATTTCTTCATTTTAACCCTTAACCATTAAAGTGGTTCTGAAGTAATCATTTCATTAGCTTTTCCACTTCAAATGAGGATAAAAAAATATGATACGGTGGTGAACTGCAAATAGATAATAACAGCAAAAGAACGTTCTCCGGTGCTTCCAAACATGCTGAACTCCACATATTCTTGTACAGTCAAAAGGGGATCGATTCTTAAAGATGAGACAAGTAAATAAAAATTAACTGAAATTTTATCTTTGTAAGATCGTTAATACTGTACCAAGTGCAACACACTAGAATGCCCTTGTTGATGATCCTTTACTCCGACATCATATAGAAAGAGTCTTAGTCACATAGTAATTACTCTTTGATATTGCAATATAGTTTTCTTTGTTAATTTCTTATAATCAGGTTGCTAACAAGTTGTTTCTTCCTTGAATCCAATGAGATCAACTATTTTATCAATTAAATGGTAAAAACTGAATTTCATAATCACTCCCTACGGTTATCTGGCTTGTGAATCCTCTTCTTATCAAGGCAAAATGAAAAAATTACCAACATCTAGACAAATGGTAAATAATTAAATAGAATACGCACCAAAAGTTCTATACTACGCTGGTTTGAGGCAGTACCTTTTTCCACAAAACGCAGAGACATTTATCTCCCTTCCATTGTTATTGAGCTCCGTTGTCTCTTGCTTTCCTTCTCTGCAATTTCATTGTTAATATAATTAGTCTCTTGGTGAAAACCAATCGATGTGATCAGTGAACAAACGACCAAGGTCTGATGAGAGTTTGCACTTCACATTTCGGGGATCTCATGTCTTAATGAATAATATGCATACCTGTCGAAAGAATTGGGCCGAGCTCACTTGTCAATTGCCTCTGTGCCAGCCAACTAACTCTGGAAGCAACCTGACATTCGATTTAGTTCGTATTCTAAGGCAAACTTAGCAACATGGTTCCCATTTTTTCTTCAACCGCCTTCCATTTCGCTTCCTACATTAGCCTTAAAGTGGCAAGCACCGAGGGTCTTGTAGCCCCATACAATTTCAGATATCTCATCTTGAGGCAAACTCAATCCCTTTCTCTTGACTACTTTATGCAATTCAGAAAATAACTCTTGATCCTGTAACTTGATATATTCTCGCAAAACGTTCTCGTGATGTGGGACCCAATTTCGAGGGAGGGGAGTGTAATCACAAGAAGGAATCATAGACATGCGCGAGAACTGCACACCTTCAATTGCATCCACAAGTCCCATTCTCAGAAGATCAGAATACTCGGGTGATGAATTATTACTGCTCTCTATCAATGGACGGCTTAAATTCCGCAAGGCAATCCCATACACCTTGGCTCGAGATTTTAATCGATACCTAGCAGCATAGAGTTTAGCCAAGGAGCTACGTATAACATACGCACAAAACCCAACAATTTTCTTTCGATTATCAGCATATCGATACCAATCAGCCATGGTCTCGAGGAATTTATTCATCTGTGAATTTGTATGAGCTTGACTTGAATACAGCATTGGATTGCAAGGCAGAGGCTCGGGATCTCTATCTCCCTTAACGAGTTCAACACGCCTGAATTTGCGTATACATTGCTCCAAGCTAGCAGTAACAGAAAGCAAAGTTCCAACACACTTTTGGCTCACAATAGAACCTCCAGAGGATGTATATCTAAGAGTAGGGTGTATTATTCTACGGCAAATTACATGGTCTAAGAATAGAATTCCTCTGCTAATATGTTCAATCTCTATCTTTGAATTATCCAACCTTATTCCAAATATACTCTCACAAAACTCAATGATTTCCTTTCTAATTCTCACTGCATCCTCTCTAGGCCCTCGAATGCCCACCAAGAAATGTCCTCCATATCGTATGTAATCCATTTTTCTAGTTTTTTCCTTGCCACTGGCTGGAACGAACTCCGGCCAAGCTGGGTTATGACAGCCATCATTAATGGAGTCTCTCCAGATGGAATCAAGCTTGGAAGGCCTAAAGTACTCACTTATCTTATCTTCCATTACAATATCCAATTCATTAAGACATACATTAGCAAGTAAAGGACTCAAAATTCCACAGTGACCATAAGAAGGTACCTTGGCAGCTTCTTCTGGTGCGAAATTGAAGAATGTTCTTAACCAATATGGGTCAGGTTTGGGTTCATTCACATTGAGAATCTTCTTCTTCTTCGTAGCCCCCTTTCTTTTCTTCTTCACGTCATAATCTTCAACTCGTGGCCGCTTCTGCTTCGGTGATTGGAGCGCGGACTTGACCAAACGCAAAATTGTTTTGTCCTTGATAGCCTTCTCTAAGGAACCCATCACCACATTTTCATCAACATGCCTAAAAATTTCACTCAAATCCGCTTTTAAGAACCAGAGGTACCCAGCGAAGTTGCTTCTAATGGATCGAATGAAAGAATGAGCATTCCGGCCCGGCCGAAATGCGTGCGATTTTGACGAAAACCGAGCCTCGAAAATAGGCTCTATGACATTCAGCAACACTTCTTGAACGATCCTGTCCTGAAAGCAAGGCTCATCAGACTCAAGCATCGCTTGAAGCTTGCGCTTGGAAATGAGATGGGTCCGAGACTTGTCATTTGGGCTTCGAATTAACGGATTAGCCTTCCTGTTCCAAGAAAATTTCCCGTTGATGACAGCGTTACGAAGAGAAAGTAGGTCTTGTAGAACATGAGAATGAATAGCGTTGCGAGGAGGGAAACTACCGGTCACGTCCGCACACGAACGCTGATACGCCAATACCCACAAATCGAATTTCGACAGAAACCCAGATAGATCGGAGAACGAACTGTTGGGAAGGGAAGCGAAGGCTTTCACCCAAATAGAGGAACAAATTTCAATTGGGTCTTCTTTGAGGTAAGAGTAGGGATCTTGATCTTGCAGCTGGGGAACATTTTGGAATTGAAGAGAAATGGAAGGACGCCTTGATGGGTGCACGGCGGGGGCGGAGGAGTTGAAACGAGCAAGAGAGATGGAATCAATGAAGCTTCGGCGGTTGCATTGAAGGTGTTTGATGATTGTTCTGAATGACATTTTTTGAACAAATTTAGTTTCTGATAGCTTTAGGGTTATTGATTCGCCATTGGATTGAAGCCGCCCCTGCTTCTGTTCTGTACGAGGCTCACAAGCCGAAGCTTAGCTATTCCATCGTTACAGCTCCGATGCCTTTTTCCTCGGCCCGAGTTTTCGCGGGTCGCCGATAGATTTGGTGGCTAGTATTATCGGCGCGGCAGCTTCAATTTAATTAATTGCTAATTCTCTTTTATTTTTCATTTTATGAGCATTTTCAATTTATTTCTAAATTTACAAAATTATTGTAATTAACCCTTTAAACATGGTAGATTAAACAAGCCAATGTTGGTCTAAAACGAAAAAATAATTAATAATTTAATTTTTCGTTGGATATTTAAAATAAAATTGTTAACGATACTTTTTCTACTATATAAAAATGTTCATAAATCAATTAATTATAGTTTAAGATTTTAATTACCAACTAAATACACAATAAAATAAATGAATTGCAATTTGACATGTCATAAAAATCAATCAGATTAAAACTTAAATTTATAAAAATGAAGAAAATATGGTTATAAATAACTAATTTTTTTAAAAAAATAAATTTCATTTTGAAAATATCTGGAGTAATACCACTAAAGTTTTAAGCCGAAAGATCAATTAAGCTTAAATCATAAATTAAATTTACAAAAATAGAAACCCAATAATAATTAATAAAATAATATTTTAAAATAAGAATTATAAAATAATTAGTTACGAATATAACTAAATATAGACTCGAATTTAAGATGGACTCAATTTTATTTCCTTGTTTTAAAAGAAAAACGCGTTTTAAAACGCGTGGTGGACACCGACCCTAAAAAAACAATTTAATTCAGAAAAAAAAAAAAGGAAAGTTTAATATTTATTTTCCATTTTCTCTAATTTACTTTATAAAATGAAAAATGAAAAATTAAATTGGTACGATTATTAATTTTTTAATTTGATAATATGTATTGAAAAATGACATTAAAAATTCAATATAATAAATCTTTAAAATTTTATTATAGTAAATTCGACTATTAATTTTGTGTTTTTCTAACAAAAATTTAAAAGTTAAAAAATTAATTTAAATATTAGATATAATTTTGAATTAAACTAAAATTTGAGTTCAATATATATAATTGGCTGACGTAAGTATTGTGATTCAATGAATGGAGATCCTAATCTTGATTAATTAGTTAATTAATTTAGATTTGGTTATTTAAATTAAAAATTAAAATTTAATTGTCGGCATTAGGAGTGGAAGAGAGCGGCAACCACAACCAAAAGTATCGTCCCAACAGCAACAGCCTTCATCTTCATCAACCGCTCAGAACAGAGGTGGAGTCACAATTAAGGTTTGAAGAGAGAGAGAGGGAGAAGCTTAGAGAGAGAAAGAGAGGTTTAGAGAGAGTATTCTCGAAGCATTAGGCTTCTTCTTCAATCCTTCTGCTTCGATCTCTTCTTCGCTTTAATCTGTCTGTGTTGGATCCTTATGATCTATCTCTCTTGCATTATATCTGATGTTTAGAGACTGACGTTTAAACAAACTCGATTCTTCATTTCGTCTCAGGTGTGTATCTCTCTCGATCTGCGTTTTATACTTTAGATTCTGCTTTTTTCGTGTGTATTTTGTCGATTGTTCGTGGAATGCTGAAGTGATTTGCTTCTATTTTTGTTGCTTTTCGTTTGCATTTTGCAGTTTTTTTTTTTTCAGGATTGATGATGGAGGCTTCTGTTATTACTCCTGGACAGGTATTGCGTTGGTTTGATCTTTCTTCGATGTGGATTTTTTTTTTTTTTGAGTTTATGTAATTCTTTGGCTCAGGATGGTTTTTAATTTTCGCGGTGTGTATAGCATTGTTATACCGTGAAGTTCACTGGCACTTGAAGTTCATTTGATTGTTTGAATTTGGGTTTCGCATTTTCCCTGCACTGTCGGCTACTTGTTTTGGTGTAGTTGGCGACAATAATTCTCACCGACAAAATTGCCCCTCGCCTTTGGATTTTTAAATTATTTCACCCTTATGCTTCATCCGCATGCTTTTCAAGATTCAGATCACGGACTACCCCACGAATGCAGAACTATTGTTTTGTTAACCGGAAATTAACACTTCTTCCTGGAAATTTGTCCTGCTGTGACTGAGAAGATTGCATTAAAATTCAAGTCCAATTTTCTTAGATGGTTGTTGAACCAATAACGTGACTGCCCAGGATACTTTTTTTTTTAAAAAAAAATTTGCTTTATGCAAGTTATCCTTGAATTTTACTGAGTTTTTTTTTTTTTTTTTACCCCAGAGGTTCATATCCTCACTTTCAATTCATCCTATATTTTTGAAATTTATCTTGGATTTGTAGATCTGTTAGATTATGTGTATCAATGTTCAAGGGGTATAATTTTCTAAGGTATATGATTATTCACGGTATTCCGAGGCTTGAGTTTGAGAACAATACTGGGACAGACTGGAATTACTCTCAAACTTTTCTGACGTCTTGATATTAGTTAATGTTGATTTTCCTGTTACTAATTTGACATTAAATGATATCAGTCCTGTGTTATTTTTCTCTTTCTTATCTTTTCATATTGTTGCCTCAAGTGTCTTACCTTTGTCGCATTTCAAGCCTGAACTAACTGACGAGGATACTTTCATGTCTCAGATATCGTTCCTTCTTGGAGTGTCTCCCATCATTGTTTCGTGGATATACTCAGAATTCCTTGAATATAGGAAATCCTCAGCTCTTTCTAAAGCGTGAGAAATTCTCTGCAATTTTTGTTGCTCTAGCTTTGCATTTTACTGCTAGCTGTTTTCATGATTTATCTTCGATTAACAATTTATGAAAAATTTCCCTTATCTCTATGTTTAAGAGTTAAAGTATCGTTAAGAGAATAGGGTTATTTAACAAGTAGGAGTAAGGAATAGGTTAGGTTGATTTTTATTATTCAATTTGTGGTTGTTTGTTTTCGTCTGTCTTTTTACTTGTTGCAGTCAACGGCAACCATTTACTTTTTTCTTTCTTCCTATCTCTCTTTTTTGTTTTTTTGTTTTTTTTGTTTTTTTTTTCATTCTTTTGAATGGTATATATTCAGCATTTTTTTGCTTACGTTTCCTGTGGTTGATTGAAATTTCCTGGATTGCAGTCATTCAGACATCAATCTAGCTGACTTGGGAGGTGAGACAGTAAGAGAAGATGATCAAGCCGTTCTATTGGAAGGAGGTCTGGCTAGAACAGCATCTGCAAAGATACATAATTCATCCATCACAACAAATTTGATAAGGTCGTTTCCATTTTCTGTAGTACACTAATGCTCTCTTTTAAAGTACTCTGTTTCTTAAATGTCCTTTCTACTGTCTGAACCTTTCTGGTCTTTAGGTTTTTTACACTGGATGACACTTTCTTGCTAGAAAATCGAGCTACCTTGAGAGCAATGTGAGTTTTAACAGGATTAATCTCAACTTGATTAACCAATAATATTAAACCGTAACTCATTATTGCAGTCTTGTTTAGGTCTGAATTTGGAGTGATTCTTTTGTATTTCTTCATATGCGACCGTACGTCTATCCTGGCAGAATCGAAGAAGGTAGTTTTGTTTCCTCAGTGTATTCGTGCTTAACATTTTTCTTGAAATAATAATTTCATCTCGATCTATTAAAGAACTCTTTTTGCTGCAATGCTTTTGTTGTAGTATTTTAATTTTTCTCTATTATCTAAGGCACACCACCATTTGCCAGATATTATTGTTGATAGCTAAGGTGAGCTGGAATTGAGCTCGAATTCCATAGATTTTCATTATTTCTCATGTATTGTGTCATCTATTATGCTTCCAAATGAATCCTCTAAAATTTACACTCTTACAGATACTCATCAATTTATTTAATTCCCTTTTTCTTACCTGCATTAGTAGAAACTTCTTTATACTGTTTAAATGGTTCTTTTCTTTGACAGAATTACAGCCGTGACCTCTTTCTCTTTCTCTACATTCTACTCATCATTGTTTCAGCAACAACATCATTAAAAAAGCACAGCGACAAGTCAGCATTTTCTGGGAAATCTATTCTTTACCTTAATCGCCATCAGACAGAAGAGTGGAAAGGATGGATGCAGGCAAGTTCTATTTTAATGTAAATGTATATATGGATTGACATTCTTTTTGGGAAACATAGTCTTATATTATTATCTTTATCATAAAATTTATGATTTTATGGTGTGTTGTTGGACTGTTAGCCTATTTTGATTTGTAAGAACGTCCATTGTACGCATCAGATACCTATTGTTATAAGCTGATTACTTGTGTTCTCCCAGTTATGTTTGGACTTTTGACTGTATTTTTGTTCTGTAAAAATGTATGCACGTCTTTTAACCAAGTTATTAATTTGAGTGAGTTTATGTACCCTACACTTAAATCTCCAAATGTTCTGATGTTCTTCACATGTATGTGATAGCATATCAACTACTATATTTTCTAGTTATTTTTCTCATGCCAATGATCTTAGTTAAGTTTGATGTACTTGGTTGGATTATAGTCAAGCCTAATACATTTTCATTTTTGGGTTTCAACAGGTTCTTTTCTTAATGTACCATTATTTTGCTGCTGCAGAGATATACAATGCAATACGCATTTTTATTGCTGCATATGTTTGGATGACCGGATTTGGAAATTTTTCGTATTATTACATCAGAAAGGATTTTAGTGTTGCTCGCTTTGCTCAGGTTATTTTTATCTAAGTTTAAAACTCTTTCTACCTCCAAAGCTTTATGAATAAAACCACCAAACCCACCCCTCCCCCATCCCCCAGCACTGGCCGAAAAGAGATGGTGATCAAGTAACTTTTGTTAATATCTCTCATTATATGCAGATGATGTGGCGGCTAAATTTCTTTGTTATCTTTTGCTGTATCGTTCTCAACAATGATTATATGCTGTACTACATCTGTCCAATGCATACACTTTTCACTCTCATGGTTTATGGAGCTCTCGGTATTTGTAATAAGTATAACGAGAAAAGATCAGTGATAGCAGTGAAGATTCTTGCTTGCTTTCTTGTGGTAATTCTCATTTGGGAAGTTCCTGGTGTTTTCGATGCATTTTGGAGTCCTTTGACAATCCTTTTAGGTAAGCACTGAATCACGCCTCTTGCCCAGAATAAAAAAAAAGGAAAAATTAAATAGAAGTGCAGATAGTTGTTTCTTTGTCTCTAGGTATTTTGATCCATCTTATGTTTTGTGGGGTGGCAAGGTCCTCCAGTTATTTTGATTTCATATATCAAGCTATTCTTTGTTTGCGGAAGTTATTTTTGTAGCTGACTGTTTAGCTTGGTTGTTTGTAAAGTTTTGGTATACTACAAGTTCAATGGTAGGCTGTGGGTTTTTCTGTTTGCGTACTAGATTGTCAACTCAAATCATATATTCTTTTACTGGAAAACTTTTAGATAATTGGGTTTCTTTGAAGACTATAGCAACCTTGAAACCATTTGGTTTTCTGCATTTGTTTTGTCTAATCCATATGTTGCCTAATGATCACTTTTCCTTTTCTTCTCTTCTTTTTGGCTATCTAACAGGTTATACTGATCCTGCAAAACCTCAACTCCCTAAATTGCATGAATGGCATTTCAGATCTGGACTCGACCGATATATTTGGATTATCGGAATGATCTATGCCTATTTTCATCCCAATGTAAACTGATGTGTCTAAATTTGTTATGTTTCTTTGCTTTGTTGCTGTTATTTTACAAAAAAAAAAAAAAAAAAAAAAAAAAAAAAAAAAATTCTTTTTTGAAAAAAAAAAAGCAAAAAGAAGTTGGAGAAACTCATCCTCATCCTCATGCGCTCATACACATGCCCACATGCTTGTTACACGTCCGAACTGCTTGACATAGTTAGATATTCCTGGTATATTTCAAATCTCTCAACGTTCATCGGCAAAACTTCGAACAAAGTTTTTTCCTTTAATCTCTCTCAATTATCTACGATACCTCGACTGTCTGGAATGTCCATACATCTAGATATCTACTACAACTTTGCATCGTCAATTAGATCTATTGTTGTCAATGTGATTTTTTGATTCTTAGGCCAATTAGATTTGAGCTTCAGTACTTTGACTCTGTTATATTGGACCGCACCCTCTATCAGGGTTTGGTCATCTCGCTCTCAAATATGCCANTAAGATAATCGTTTTTTTGTCCTAGGTTGAGAAATGGATGGAGAAGCTAGAGGAAGCTGATACCAAGAAGAGAATCTCTATAAAAGCGTGCATAGTTACAGTTGCCCTGTCCGTAAGTTGGACTTGTGACTAGCAATATCTTTTGCGTGGCAACAATAGTCTACTTTTAGTAATTGCGTATCTTTATGCCATCTGTTTTCTCCAGGTTGGTTATATGTGGTATGAGTGGATATATAAGCTGGACAAAATTACATATAACAAGTATCATCCTTACACATCATGGATTCCTATAACGTATGTACTGAAGAAGTGTTCGTTGTTTACTTCTTTTTTTCTTTTTTGTATCATTTCGCTGATCTCGTTTTATTTTGATTCTAGTGTTTATATTTGCCTGCGGAATTTTACCCAGCAGATCCGAAACTACTCTTTGACGCTCTTGGCGTATGTATTTCTTTTCTAACTACTATAAGATCTTTTAGATTTGAACATGGAATATTTTCTGTTGTGTTTTCTAACTATGTTATATCATTAGGTGGCTTGGCAAGATTACCCTTGAAACTTACATTTCACAGTTTCATATATGGCTGAGGTGAGGATTTATTATTATTATTATTATTATTATTATTATTATTATTATTATTATTATTATTATCATCATCATTATTATTATTGGTATTTGCAACTCTCTATTTAATCCATTCTTTCTAATGTGATGTGACAATGAATCAGAATGTATCTTTGACTTGAACACAATGTGTTAAAAAAATTCTGCCAGTATCAAATTTTCTTTTTCTTTCTGAATAAGGCTCACATAGTAATGATAAAAATGGGCTCTGTAGTGGAGTAGTTTATATGGAATTTAAAATGCGATTTCTATCTTCAAGACAAGCAATTTTTATTTTCTTGGTCTGTTTGTGCAGATCAAATGTACCCAATGGACAGCCTAAGTGGCTTCTTTCTATCATTCCAGAATATCCTATGCTCAATTTCATGCTCACTACAGCAGTCTATGTATTTGTAAGAGAAAATCTACATGACCGTTTATTTTGGATGCAAGATATAGTACTTTTAATATTTCATTTTCTTGCATGATGATTTGTAAATTATTCTCTTTTGCAGCTCTCTCTTCGGATATTTGAATTAACAAACACACTTAAGGCGGCCTTTATTCCCACAAAAGACGATCGGCGTCTACTGCATAATTTACTTGCCGCTGGTGCAATTGGTTTATGTTTATACAGCATCTCATTGATTTTCTTCGGTTTCTTCATTTGACGGTAAGCCCTTTGCCCAACTTGCTTTGTCGTGGTAAATACATATGAGCTTATTTGATAAACCATAGTTCAATACTCATCACTAACCTCAAATTGTATATGTTAATCTCTACTCATCTAACTATTTTTTTCAACTCACGTTCCAATTTTTATTTGCGGATTACTGAGGAACTGTCATTAGTGGATAGTATTTTCAGCTGTAGGGCATTCCCTTCCGTTTCTTGGAATTTTAAATTGATTTTTTATTTTTTATTTTTGGCTTTTTATCCTGTTTAAACTTGTCAGTTGATGAGTCGCTATTTCTAATTGATGATTCAGATATTATTGTGAATGCAAAGAGCCATTTCTACATTGTTTATTTCCAGTTTGAAATGTGCAAAAGTGAAAGGAGATGAAATTTTTTGGTTGTATATCCAACTCGTTCGATAGGCTTCCTTCAGCTGTCCTTTTCCTCTTTGAAGCTTCAAAGACGAGTCTGTAGGAAACATAGCAAAAGTTCTTTTCTGCTTTCAAATTTCAACTCCCCCCACAAAAGAAGAGAAGTATTGCCGATTTTGGTGAAGTTGCCTTGGCCTTTGATGTATTATAATTATTCAAAATTGAAGTTCTGCCGAAATTATTGATATGTTCGTCATTATCATAAATTCTTCTTAGTAGTTTGCCCCATTTTTTGTCTATGAAACACAACATTTTCCCTACTTTTGCGTTCTTGCAATCTTCACCAATGAGAAAAGGTAAGAACTTGGAAAACTTTAGAGAAAAATAGAACAGAGGTTCTTATTTCATGTGGTTTTTGCAGACTTTTTTGTACACTTTTTAGTCCCTTTGTTGTGGCAATTTTGTATTTGGAAAGATGATGTTGTTTAGAGATCTAAAGCTTCTTCATGATCTCATTCTTATACATATAGATGCATAATATAGGTCATCTTGCTGTTACTCTACTGCTGTTAGGTGATGTTAGTTTCAATTAGATGTTGAATGATCAAGAGGTAATAGGTTCGATCCTCCACCTTATCTTATGTATGCAAATCTAAAAATTCCTTAGCTAAATTTGCAAATGACCTAATGTTTGCTATTCATTACAATTTTTCTTTAATATATTAAATGGTTATCATTAGTTAATATTAAATTAATTAAATTCTTAACAAGATCATAAAATTTCAAAATTTCTGAACATAAAACTTCAATCAGCAAGTCATTCAAGTCTTTCAAGCATACTTAAATGCTACTTTTCCACTTGACCTACCAACAACGAAATAAATTCATAAATATTTCATTTGGTCGCTAGGAAGTCATTTCCAGTCCACGGATGCAATTCGGGAAGTCAATGTCGAAGTAATGAGAAGGGGCTAACAATTTTAATATCTTAAATAAATTTTTGTTTTTAACTAAAAGTAAAATTACATATTACTTGGGTGAATTTGAGTAATTACAGTCTCTATCTTTATTTCCATGTTTCGATAATCCCTTATCGAATAAGCCAACCTCAGCATAAATTATATTTCAAAGTTACAGTAAAAAAAATCACAATCAATACCAAATTATTCTTTTTAAAAAAACCAATTATTCTAACTTAACTTGGTATTTTGCAAACCTTCAACAGAAGAAATGTTTTTCTAACTTGGTCTTATATTCTCTAAAAAGTGGATTCTACCACACATCAACTTGATCTCTCATAGCCCATCCAAGCAGACTTGCTGTCACAGGAACTCTACACTATTTATTGAACTATTTTCTTCATATCATAAACAAATTGAAGTGTAATTTACACACAACTGGGTCAACTTTTTTGTCCAAGAAGGGGATAAAAGGGAAGAACATTGTTTTGGATTGTTCTTCACTGAGAGAAAAAAAAAAAAACAAAGTTGCAGGCTTCTTATGATGAGCTAATGAATCAATTCTTTGAATGGTCTGTTCTTTCTTCTTCATAGGTTCCTCACCATCTCTCTCAGGAAGCTCTTCACTTTCAGCCATGGCAGAAGCTCAAGAAAAGTGCCTGCAAATTACAGGTAATTCCAGCAAATCAATGGCAGACTAAAAAGAAGATAGAAATTTTGTATGCTTCTTGTTCCATTCTGTATCAGTGGAAAAGAGCTTAGAGAAAAAGGGAGAATCAACTCGTCAGCAGCCATTGAAATATTTTATGTTCTCTCTTCTAATCTTATTTTGTTTAAATTGTCAGATAACTTAGAAGCAGATCAGATAACCAAAGGATCAAACTCCATGGAATCTTCAGAAACAATCACCAACCAAACAAGAATCACCCACAAAGCCAATTACAAGAAGTGGGTTAAGATCTTTCTCTACATAATCTTTCTCCTTCTAGGACAGTCAGTGGCTACCCTCCTTGGAAGACTCTACTTTGACAAAGGAGGCAAAAGCAAATGGCTTGGAACCTTGGTCCAAGTAGCAGGCTTCCCCATCTTCCTTCCTTATTACATCATAAGAGCAACCAAACGAAGAACAAACAGGAACAATATTTCCCACACAGAACAACAACCAACTCTGTTGAAGCTAGCTCTGGTTTATGTCTCATTGGGGCTGTTTTTAGCTGCAGATTGCTACTTATTCTCCATTGGTCTCATGTACCTCCCTGTCTCCACTTATTCCCTCCTCTCTTCCTCACAATTAGCCTTCAATGCCATCTTCTCCTTCTTCCTCAATTCCCAAAAGTTCACTCCTTCAATCATCAACTCCCTTGTTGTTCTTACCATCTCCTCAACCCTCCTTGTCTTTCAAACAGAATCAGAGAGCTCAGCCTACAACAAGGCCTCTAAGGCCAAATACATCATTGGCTTCATCTGCACGGTCGCTGGATCAGCATGCTATGGCCTAGTGCTTTCTTTAACGCAGCTATTCTTCAACAAGCTCGTCAAAAACGAATCATTCAAGGCTATTGTGGACATGATTTGGTTCCGATCGTTTTTTGCTTGTCTGGCCATTGTTGTGGGGCTTTTTGTGAGTGGAGAGTGGAGGGGTTTGAAGAAGGAGATGAATGAGTTTGAGTTGGGGAAAGTGTCTTACATTATGACAGTGGTTTGGACTGCCATTTTGTGGAAGGTTTTCACTCTTGGGTGTGTTGGTTTGATATTTGAGGTTTCTTCTCTGTTTTCCAATGCTGTTTGTGTACTGGGGTTTCCTATAGTTCCTGTTGCGGCGGTGTTCTTGTTTCATGATAAGATGAGTGGACTGAAAGGTGTTGCCATGGCTTTGGCGGTTTGGGGTTTTGTTTCCTATGTTTATCAGCAGTATCATGATGATTTCAAGTCCAAGAAGAATCCCAGAAGTTCATTGTGAAGAAAAATGGACAAATATCAATACCAACAACTATAAGATCTCATCATTAGTATATATTATTCATATCAATAACTAACTGATTATGTCTTTTTCTTATCTTTCATGGATAGTTGTACAAGATATCAGAGATATCAATTGGTTAATAAAATCAACCTCAAATCTTTCCACAACAAATAGTTTAATTCCTAAATGATATTGTACTGAAGGTTTTGAAGATTGAAGTAGAGGTTACTAGGAAGGTTAGGCATACTCTTGAGAGATTATGCAAAAGTTCTCTTTTATTATACTCATTGTAATCCACATTCTTATTGGTAGGAAATGGTTTTAACCTAATGAAAGAGTGAATCCATACAAATCTTCGGTATAACTTCTCCGCAGTTTACTTCTTTCACGTGAAAACATAATCCAAACCTCTACAAAACTTCTCAATTTAGTGTCCATTAAGTTCTTAAATTTTGAAAGATATCAAAGATAACCTATTAGACACAAAGTTAAAGGTTTAAAAACCTATTTGACACGAACTTAAAAGTTTATAGACTAAATTCGTAATTTAATCTAGAAACTAAAATGAACCTGAAAATCACATGTAAAGTAAGGCAAGCCATGTGTTGTTTTGAAGGAGTCACATATAGTTGACAAACATGAGCGCATCGCACTAGCACCAAGAAGAGACATCTAAATGCGCACGTAAACTATGTACTCCACATGCAACAAGACAAACCCCCCACCAAATGTAGGAAGGAAGGAGTGAAGAATAAAGCCATACTCTTGAAAAGCTAATGAACTTTCAGCAATAAACCACACAACTTGCAGAATATTTTCCCACCAACACCATCGATGCGTCCCTATCAAAATCCACAATACCAAAAATATATATATACATTTATACATACCTTTCAGGACATGGGCAGTTGCATTAACATTGCGCTCCAAAGCCCCCACGTCTCTTTGGCGCATTTCGTCGAACACTTGAGGTGCCCCACTGACGTTTCGTCCAATCTTTGATTTGCAGATATAATAAAAAAAGCAGACCACCGGCAGGCAGATTCTGATTCTGCCCCACTGGCGTTTCGTTGAGAGATCCTTGAATCTTCGTAATGTTATGGCATTTGGTTGAGTTAGTGGTTTAATCATAAACCCAAAATGAATTATAGAGGTTTGACCTTAATCTCACTAAATTCATCCTAGTGTTTGAACTTGAATTCATTAAACAAAATTAATAGAGATCGAATCTTAAACCTACAAAAATATCAATCGGGATCAATCAAAGGCCCACGATAAGAATTGTTGATATGAAACACTTGATTTTTCATCCCTTCGAATGCATTTAATTGTGAAATTGTGTTCGATCCGTTGTCGAGAACCATCAAAACTGATATTAAGTTATTTTCGTATATGATATCGTACGAATAAGTCATTTTTATTTTCTTTTATAGCAGCGCATGTAAATATTATTTAATCCTATAAACGTAATAACTTAAAATTGCACAGTGTTCCAATGAGAAATTAGTTGATGTTACATTAGAACAGGAGATAATATACACTTGTGAACGTAAATGTATATGGTACAAGTACATAGTAAAACGCAATGCACAAACTAAAATGGATTCTATGAATGAGATAGGGTGTATGCATTAATGTTTAACGTGCAATTGAGTCAGTCAACAGAGATGGAAGGTTAATAGTCTATGTATGGTAATTTGAAATCAAATCGTGTGATAAATTAAAGAACAAACTTACCTGGTGCCAGTGTTTTACCATCTCGCATGCAAGCCTTCGCTTCACAGCAAGGGTTGCTTTGGTGCTATCAATAGCCATTCATAGAGTGCAATGAGCAGATGAGGAGGTTGAAGTAAGAGGAAATGTGGAACTTATATGTTTTTATTTTTACTTATTTAAAACCTCGTATTACACTCTCTTTCCCTCTCTCTACTGCTGTCTTTGATTGCCCTTGTGAACGACAATTTACGTAGAGGATCACTCTCGATCAAGGAGGGAAGAACGCCCAAACTCGAACAATGAAGCACTCTCGATCTCAGGTTTCCTACTAGATCTACGTAGAGGATCAAAAGGAACGGTCTGAGCATTTGGATCGTTCGTCTCAGGCAAGAAACGGACAAGAACGTAAGGTAAGTCTCCGACCTCGTTTGTTTTGGGATTTCGCCATAGATATGTGAGTTTCATATAATTTAGGTCTTAAAAGGATTCTTGATTTCGCCATAAATTATTTTCATCAATTTAATGGTTTTTGTCCTTACAGGTGAGGTCTAAGGGTTCGTTGGAGGCTGACGTATTCGTAGTCGCCGGAGTTTGGGTTACGCTCGCCGGAAAACTTCGGTATCTCCATGTTTCTCAATTTTTCTTTCCTCTTTGTCTCTAACTCATTTTAACATCTAACCTCTTGTTTACAAATGGAAATGATAACGACATCTAACCTTTTGTTTACAAAGGTAAATGATGATGACATCTAATCTCTCGTTTACAAATGTAAATGAGAGTGCTGTTTAACTTTTTGTCTTTACCAACTATCGTTGTGGTAGATGTATCGTCACCCGTTAATGTAATAAACGTTTTGGGTATTTGCAATATACTCTAGGTTTAAACCTAGAGTTACAGTAATTCGGTGCCTCTGCTATAGGAGGAACGGAGAGGGATGAAGAATACCAAAGTTTTCCGGCGAGTGTAACCCAAACTCCTGCGACTTTGAAAACGTCAAACCCTTAGACCTCACCTGTAAGGACAGAAACCAAGAAATGAAAAGAGAAAAGAGTGGAAGACAAACAGTTTTGTCTCGTCGAACATAAACTCCGGCGAGACAAGGACCTTTGTTAAGGATATTTAGTAATAAATTATAGTTTACCATATATATTATATTTGATATTTTATTATAAGACAAATATCTAATATTTGCCTTATTATCATAAGTATCTTTCCATTTATTGTTATTTCCATTTATTACTATTTTCATATCCTTGTAATTTATTTGATTATAAATAAGATAACTTTCAAACCATTTAGGTGGGGTGGATTATGCAAACATTCACAAAGACATTTTATTTTTTACTTTAACCGTTATTGGTGGTCTAATTGAGTTCTTGTGCTCAAAACCGACCTACTAAATTAGTTTGACACTTAACAAGATCGACTCTAGTCATTTTTGTACAAAAATTCATCAAATCAATTTCGGTCGGTTATTCGATTTGATTTATTCATCCAATACAAAGATATCGATTGAATAGTCTATTCATACACTCATAGATCGGTTAGAAATTATTGTGTTCATTTTGGCCCTATGCACATATGGGGTTGCCCAATCCAAAGTGTTGTCCTTTGTTGCTTGTGGGATTAATTTGGCTTCTTTCTCTCTCCTCCCTGACCGTCATTGCCCAATCTTATCTCTCTACTCGTACAAATCCTATTGAAATTGAGGATTATTTTATTCGAGATCAAGTGTTTCTGATACTGATTTGATCTTTGTCATACTTTATGAATCGATCAGATCGTCGATTGTTTAACCAAATCACAACCTTTTAATATTGTTTTCATCCTGACCAACTGGATCTTCAATGCTCTCATGTACCTGATTTGAAGAGAAGCTTATCGACTAATTTAGATATAACAATCTATTTTGATTTATGGGTAATAGTCGTATTTCATATTTGCTTAACGTATTCTACTTTTGAAACTTAATACCAACCTTTAACTTTAATATTTCGATGATATCAACTTATTTCCTATAAGATAATTTCTATAAAATTAATTCGGAATATATTTTTTTTTTTATAAAATAAAAATAAGAAAAGAAAGATTAGGAATTTAAGGTTAATTAGTAACACAGTAGTTGTTACATCGTTCCAAGATTTAGCCAAGGCTTAGCTCAGGACCCCACTACTCGTCGTATTTGGTTTGGTATTGTATACGAGAAAATCGAAGCAAAGAGGTACATGAATTAATTAATCCAATGTTTTTAATTTAGGACAAAAATCACTGTCTTTTTGCCCAGCTAATTTATTCTTATCTAAACCTATAACATGATTATTTTTCTTTTCCTTTTTTCTCATTGGACTGTTACTAAAATAGTATCACCGCTCAAGTACTTTAATTTGTGTCCCATCCCCTTCCCTATTTAAGACCTTCCATCTCTCATCTCTCTCCATTCTCTCATTTTTCTCTCTCTACAAAATTTCTTCCAACTTTAGGGCATGGGAGATGTTGGGGAATTGAAGCTTCAATTTGGTGGTAAGTGTTAGTCAACTCAAATTTAAACATATATCTATAAATTTTGGTTTTTTCCGCTGTGTGCCCGAGCGGTGGGTCTCCTGGTTCCTATACCATTGCATTTCCTCGTCTTTTTTTTAGTGCTTAGACTCGAAGCAATAGCTTCTAGCTAGTTCTGATAATTGCGCTCCAGTTCACTCAAAAATGGGACAACAATGATTCGCGAAAGCTGGAGTAGAACTCCTTGTAGGCAACCTAGCTTAGGGGCGAAGTAGAGCAATTTCACTCAAATAGTCATCCATGGATCAAACTTTCTCAAACCTCCACCAATACCAAAAGGCGGGAGCCAATAAATTTGAAACTTGTTCGACAAGTGCCCTTGAAACAAAAATTAACATGATAGCTGTTAACTGTTACGTCAATTTACGTGAATGATGTCATGTGTATCTTTCGATTTTTACACGTTAATTGTTGTGTCAATTTTGAAACATCTGACATGTTTTGTAATTGTGGTTGTTGTATGAAAAAGAAGACGAGAAAGCGAGCCCGAAAAAGCAAACGAGCTCCATTAACCTAAGCCAACCGAGAAGAAGCCCAAGAATCGAAGTAAATTACAAAAGATGGCTAAGAATTGGTGTTTACACGGGGCTGCTCATTGCAGGCCAATCAGTGGGAACTATGCTTGGGAGGCTCTACTTTGACAAAGGTGGCAAAAGCAAATGGTTGGCAACTCTAGTTACATTGATAGGCTTTCCCATTCTCCTCCCACTCTACATGATAAAATCACCCAAAACCCCATCCTCAAACATCACCCTCCAATCAAACCCACCCACGGCTACAAAACTTGCCTTTGTCTATGTCTCTCTCGGTCTCCTTGTTGCCATTGGTTGCTTTCTTTACTCCGTGGGCCTCATGTACCTTCCTGTGTCGACCTACTCCCTCATTTGTGCCTCACAATTGGCCTTCAATGCCTTCTTTTCTTACTTCCTTAACTCCCTTATCTTCACCCCATTCATCCTCAATTCTCTTGTTCTTCTCACTATCTCCTCCTCTCTCCTCATGTTTCAACCCGAACCCGTCTCCGACAGAGGCCCTAACCACCTTGCTTCTCGAGCTAAGTTCATTACAGGTAAGATTCTAAATCACCGTCGATGTATATCATTAACCGTAGAATTCAAATATCGACATGTTCTTGTTGATTACAGGATTTGTTTGCACGGTGGCGGCCTCGGCCGGGTACGGGTTGATGTTGTCATTAACCCAACTAGCCTTCAAGAAAGTCATAAAAAAGGAGACTTTCAAGGCAGTTATGGACATGATAATTTACCAATCAATTGTTTCAAGCTCAGCCATATTGATAGGCTTCTTTGCAAGTGGGGAATGGAGAAGTTTGAAGAGGGAAATGGATGGGTTCCATTTGGGTAAGGCTTCGTACGTAATGACTTTGGTTTGGACAGCCATAAGCTGGCAGCTTTTCTCGGTTGGCTGCGTGGGCCTCATTTTTGAGGTTTCTTCCCTCTTTTCCAACGCCATTAGCGCTTTGGGTTTGCCCATTGTGCCTGTTTTTGCTGTCCTTTTCTTTCATGACAAAATGGATGGCATCAAAATTGTGTCCATGATTTTGGCTGTGTGGGGGTTTGTTTCTTATGGTTATCAGAATTATCTTGATGATTTGAACGAATCCTCTACAGTTGAAAGAGATTCGTGAATGAATATGATATGGTTAGTTTAATGCACGATATTACAATGTTGTTTTAATTCTGCTTGTATTTATTAGGTTTATGAATTTTAAAAAATAAATATTATATGAGATACAAGATAGGATACGATGTAATCATTCATTACATACTTTTAAAGTTAGAGATCTATTGACACAAAATTAAAATTATATGTAACAGGTAAGCACTTTGAATTGTCGTGGATGAACGATATTCCTTTCATGATTCATGAGCTCATTAGAATTAATTTTGATATAGAACCACATGTTATTTCATTTGATTTTGGTTTAAAGATGGAGAACTAAAATTAATAAAGCACAGTCGTTTCGTTCTCAAAAGCACTCTAGGAACAAACAATTGTAGTTTATTTTCCAGGGACAAAGTTGGTGGCGTAAGCCCAAGCATTGTTGTTGACTGGGTCAGCAAGGTGATCGGCAAGATTCTCCAATGGGCCCTTTCCAGTCACGATGGCCTGAACAAAGAAGCCGAACATCGAGAACATGGCCAATCTCCCATTCTTAAGCTCCTTCACCTTCAGCTCTGCAAAGGCTTCCGGGTCATCTGCAAGTCCCAACGGGTCAAAGCTCCCACCCGGGTATATCGGATCCGTCACCTCCCCCAATGGCCCACCGGCAATACGGTATCCCTCAACCGCCCCCATCAGAACCACCTGCGATGCCCATATGGCTAGAATGCTTTGGGCGTGGATCAAGCTCGGGTTCCCCAAGTAGTCGAGCCCACCTTCGCTGAAGATCTGAGAACCTGCCTTGAACCACACCGCTTCCCCAAACTTCACGCCGTTGCGGGATAGAAGCTCCGGGAACACGCACCCCAAGGCTCCGAGCATAGCCCACCTGTAAAATGGCCGACCCAAGAAAAAAACAAAACTTTTAAAAATCACTGACCTCGTAACAATAGAATTCTAACTTTGAGACTCTCTCCTGACTATCAATTCTCAACTATATTCTCCCCTCTCGAATAAACTACTGTCATTTGTTACTTTTGACATCACTTTTTATTCTTGATTAAACATTTAAGGATTCTATTAGCATCACTTAGTTAAAAACATGACACCCTGAAACAAAATACACTATAGAGTCTCTCCTGAAATCTATAGAGCCCTCGAACACATCTCCTTAATCGAGGCTCAACTCCCTTTTCTGGAGTTCTCAAATAAACTACATTATTTGTTCACTTGAGTCACTTTTGACTACACCATTATTCTTTGTTCGATATTTGATGATTTTATTGATATAACTAAGTTAAGAGCATGACATCTTCGAACAAATTATATAATAGAGCCTCCCGCGAGGCCTATAGAACCTTGAATAGCCTCCCTTTAATCGAGTTTCGACTCCTTTTTTTGGAGTCCTAGAACAAAGTACCTCTTGTTTGACACTTGAGTCATTTTTTAATATAGTGATTCTATTAGCATGACTAAGTTAAGGACATGACACAAATAATATGTTGAAAATCATATATCTTCACTATGATATTGTCCATTTTGAACGTAAGCTATTGTGACTTTGTTTTGGACTCTCAAATATAAACTCATAATCATTCCCTAAATTAGCTTCTATTTTTAATGTTTTTGAAAGAGTTCTTACCTCGAGTGGATAACTTCGAGCTCACGGTTCTTGGCGAAGGTCTCAGGGTCAGCAGAAAGTCCGGCAGTGTCCCAGCCATAGTCACCGGGGAACTCCCCGGTGAGGTAGGACGGAGACTCGCCGGAGAATGGACCCAAATACTTGACACGGTCAGGTCCGTACCATGGGCTTCCAGAAGAAACAGATTTGGCGGCGGATTTCCTCATGCTGACTCTGCCATTGCCGACAAGCTCCGAGGAGGAGGGAGTGAGTTTAACTGCCTTTCCGGCAAGAGACGGAGAGGAGAGAGCCATTGCAGAGGCCGCCATTGCAAGAAAGGATCACAGAAATGAAACGCGTTCAAAGTTGCTAGCTGGTGGAGTCATGAGAAAGCCGTTGAGATTCAGTTTTTAAATACAGAAGATTGTTATCGTGGGAAAATCAACGTGTATGATTTCATTGGCTGTGAATCTCCACGTAGCGATTCTTACGCCTAGAAGAAATGTTTTTTTTTTTATAATTAATTTCGGAATATCGTGTTGTCCTAGTTGTCAGCCAATCAAGAACCATCGGCAGCTGCGGCACCAGATATTCTAATCTTTAGCTGAGTGAAGTTTCTTGGTATCGAAGATTTATTTGAGATATTGGATAAGATATCATGATCTACACTTCCTTATCCCAATTATCTTGTCGGAGGAACAAAGATTCCAACCAAAATTACAAACTCAAAAGTAGGATAATGTGAAAATTAAAAAAAGAAAAAAAAAACGAAACATTTCTTTTAAGAGTGTGAAAACATCTCTCTAGCAGCACGTGTTTTAATATTGTGAGACTGACGACGATATGTAATAAGCTAAAATGGGTAATATCAACCTACAGGGGAGATTCATTGTAAAAAATGAAGGACAGATCAAACTTGAGGCAAATATTGATTGTGAGATCTCGTATCGGTTGGAGAGAGTTATACGTAACGGGTCAACATGAACAATAACAACTATCGATGATGATTCATTGTAAGAATTTCACACACGTATATATTGAATTAAAAAAAATGACATTGGAATAAATAGGAGATATATAATGAAGGGATGCGAGAGAGATTATATGATGACTAAGAAAAAATTTAAAAGACTAAAAAATTTAGAGGGTGGGATTGTCATTACCAAATATTTATTTGTGCAGTACATTAGCAAATTTTAAAAAATATCAAAATTTAAACAATAAATTTATAAATTTAAAAGGGTAAGAAATAAAGTTTATGAATTAAATTTCAAATTTTTACAAATTAATACGTGTGTATGATTATATGTGCACGCGCGAAATTTGACACCAAATTTTGTTAGATCGCTTTGCCTCTCATCCGAGACATTGCCGCATGTTCATGGGTGAAAAAATGCCGCCACCGCCACCGCCACCGCCGCCGTCTATATCTCTGCACTCCAGTTTCTTTTCGTCTCTTAAGCAGGTAACTCCCAATTTCAATTCAATTTCCCCTCCCTCTCCCCTGTTTTTCCCCATATGTTTCTTAAATTGATTCACTAAACAGGTCGAAAAACGCCTTAAATTAGACAATCCATCGCAACGGGACGCTCTTCGTCCACCATCGCCACGAAGAGCACCGTCATTGCCAGTAGAAATCAGTTCTTCTTCATCGGTCGAAGAGTCCCTGAGCACTCCCATGTACCTTCATTTGTCCCAAACCAACACAGCCTCCTCCTTACAAGAAAGCAGCGAACCGCCTCCCGAATTCCTTTCGAATTCCTCAGATCTGAAATCAGAATCGAATAGTCCGAATCTCATCGACTGTGGCCAAAACCGGCCTGTAGATGACATTCAACGGCTGGTTCAACTTCTAGGGTTTGGGGATTCGTTTGAAGAAAAGGAATTGGGTGCTCGGAGTGGCTGTAATGGCTGTGAGGGTTGTGAAAGCGGGTTTTACAGCAAGATCGTTGGCCTAAAAGGCCCCAAATGTGGAAAGGAGGTGGAGAGGCTAAATGGATGGATTCAGTACTTCTGGACTGGTGGCGGTGAAGCAGAGAGATTAGAGCCTCTTAGATTGGCGTATTTACTGATGGGGAAGGCTGTTTTTGCCTCTAATGGCGGCGATAATTGTTTGGAAGGATTGGAATTCCCTTCAACTGTAGAGGATTTCTTGCTGAATGATCCTCCTGCATAATAATAGGTAATAATCCCACTTCATTATCACTTTGGTTTGTGCATAATTCTTCTTAATTTCACTAGCATGAGCAGTTTAATTGAAGCTTTGATTTCCCTTTGTGGGTCCATAATGGCCATTATTTAGCTCTATTTTCTCGTGAATACATCAGTACCTTCATTTTCATGTTCATTGTTTGAAGGTAGAAAAACTTGTGAGAAAAAACTGGTCCTGATGCCTTCAAATCCATCTCTAATTCAAACATTCAATGATGTGATGAACGCTGTTGGTTCTGATTCACTGGTTTAGTTTATGAAACTGATAATCTATCCATTGATTTCAATAAGTCACTTTTGGAGATGGTTTTACAGATGGAGAACTTGAAAATGGAAAGATGATTTTTCTACGTACTTTTGAGGAAAAGTGAACTGATTGTGTATAAGATTTGGATATTGGGCTTTTTTTTTTTTTTTTTTTGCATAATTGAAACATATTCAGATTATTTGAATTATTCCAACGATTGAAAAATAGGTTGATTTTGTGAATTTAGCAAGAAAATGGGAAGCTACGAGTATGGATAGAAATAGAAGGATACATTTATTAAAATATATATCATATTTATACAAGAGTTATACAAAAGAGCATTCAAAGCTTATAAGTGTATGCATTACATTAAGAAAATGAGTTTGGTGCATTTAACTCCCAAAATTTATTGAAAAGTAAGGTGTTTTGATATATGTCCAATAAATGTTGGACCTCACTGTGCTAAAGATGGTCTAACAGTGTCCAAACTAGAGCGATAGTACTCCCATAAGCCGAAGAAAGAGGGATGGTGACAGTTGTGGGATTTGAACCTACAACCCTTTCAGACCAGAGGCTAAATCTGGTGCCTTTGACTACCCGGCCAAACTGTCCAATTGCTAAAATTCAAAATAAAATAAAAAACAAATTGTGACAACCATGCGATTTGAACCCATGCGGACAAGAGACGAAATCTAGCGCCTTTTGCTAAAAATTGAAATAGAAAAATTCATTGATGGAAAAATAAAATAAAAAACAAATTGTGACGGCTATGAGATTTGAACCCATGCCCTTACAGAACAAAGCTTAAATCTAGTGACTTAGACCACTCGGCCAAACTATCCAATTGTTGAAAATTGAAATAGAAAAATTGACCGAGCTGTGGGATTTGAACCCACGCCCTTTCGGACCAGAGCCTAAATCTGGCGCCTTAGACCATTCGGCCAAACTGTCCAAAAATTGGAATAGAAAATTCACAGAGGAAACGCTCAATGTTGTATGGTTATAGAAAAATTCATTGATTTGAAAAATAAAATATAAAACAAATTGTGACAGCTGTGGGATTTGAATCCACGCCCTTTTGGACCAGAGCCTAAATCTGGCGCCTTAGACCACTCGGCCAAACTGTCCAATGGCTGAAAATTGAAATAGAAAAATTCACCAAGGAAACGCTCAATGTTGTATGGTTATAGAAAAATTCATTGATTTGAAAAATAAAATATAAAACAAATTGTGACAGCTGTGGGATTTGAACCCACGCCCTTTCGGACCAGAGCCTAAATCTGGCGCCTTAGACCACTCGGCCAAACTGTCCAATGGCTGAAAATTGAAATAGAAAAATTTACTGAGGAAACGCTCAATGTTGTATGGTTATAGAAAAATTCATTGATTTGAAAAATAAAATATAAAACAAATTGTGACAGCTGTGGGATTTGAACCCACGCCCTTTCGGACCAGAGCCTAAATCTGGCGCCTTAGACCACTCGGCCAAACTGTCCAATGGCTGAAATTTGAAATAGAAAAATTCACCGAGGAAACGCTCAATGTTGTATGGTTATAGAAAAATCCATTGATTTGAAAAATAAAATAAAAATCAAATTGTGACAGCTGTGGGATTTGAACCCACGCCCTTTCGGACCAGAGCCTAAATCTAATAAAAATCAAATTGTGACAGCTGTGGGATTTGAACCCACGCCCTTTCGGACCAGAGCCTAAATCTAGCGCCTTAGACCACTCGGCCAAACTGTCCAATGGCTGAAAATTGAAATAGAAAAATTCACCGAGGAAACGCTCAATGTTGTATGGTTATAGAAAAATCCATTGATTTGAAAAATAAAATAAAAAACAAATTGTGACAGCTGTGGGATTTGAACCCACGCCCTTTCGGACCAGAGCCTAAATCTGGCGCCTTAGACCACTCGGCCAAACTGTCCAATGGCTGAAAATTGAAATAGAAAAGTTCACCGAGGAAACGCTCAATGTTGTATGGTTATAGAAAAATTCATTGATTTGAAAAATAAAATAAAAAACAAATTGTGACAGCTGTGGGATTTGAACCCACGCCCTTTCGGACCAGAGCCTAAATCTGGCGCCTTAGACCACTCGGCCAAACTGTCCAATTGCTGAAAATTGAAATAGAAAAATTCACCGAGGAAACGCTCAATGTTGTATGGTTATAGAAAAATTCATTGATTTGAAAAATAAAATAAAAAAACAAATTGTGACAGCTGTGGGATTTGAACCCACGCCCTTTCGGACCAGAGCCTAAATCTGGCGCCTTAGACCACTCGGCCAAACTGTCCAATGGCTGAAAATTGAAATAGAAAAGTTCACCGAGGAAACGCTCAATGTTGTATGGTTATAGAAAAATTCATTGATTTGAAAAATAAAATATAAAACAAATTGTGACAGCTGTGGGATTTGAACCCATGCCCTTTCGAACCAGAGCCTAAATCTGGCGCCTTAGACCACTCGGCCAAACTGTCTAAAAATTGAAATTGAAAAATTCACCGAGGAAACGCTCAATGTTGTATGGTTATAGAAAAATCCATTGATTTGAAAAATAAAATAAAAAACAAATTGTGACAGCTGTGGGATTTGAACCCACGCCCTTTCGGACCAGAGCCTAAATCTGGCGCCTTAGACCACTCGGCCAAACTGTCCAATGGCTGAAAATTGAAATAGAAAAATTCACCGAGGAAACGCTCAATGTTGTATGGTTATAGAAAAATTCATTGATTTGAAAAATAAAATATAAAACAAATTGTGACAGCTGTGGGATTTGAACCCACGCCCTTTCGAACCAGAGCCTAAATCTGGCGCCTTAGACCACTCGGCCAAACTGTCTAAAAATTGAAATTGAAAAATTCACCGAGGAAACGCTCAATGTTGTATGGTTATAGACATCTGTGGGAATTGTATGACATTTGTGAGTTTTGAACCCACACCCACGCAACCTAATTCTGATAGTTTAGCTAAACTATCTAATTGTTGAGAATTGGAATAGTTGTGGGATTTGAACCCACGTCACGCCCTTTCCGACCAAATTGTGACAGCTATAGGATTTGAACCCACGCCTTTTCAAACCAGAGCCTAAATCTGGCACCTTATATAGAAAAATTTATAAAATAAAAAACAAATTGTGACAATTACGGGATTTGAACCCATGCACTTTTGAAAACAGAGCCTAAATCTGGCCTTAGACCACTTGGTCAAATTGTCCAATTGTTGAAAATTGAAATAGAAAAGTTTACCGAGGATACGTTCAATGTTGTATGATTATAGTATTCATTGATGGAAAAATAAAATAGGAAAACAAAGTGTGACTGGGATTTGAACTCACGGCCCTTTCAAAACTAGAGCCTAAATTTAGCACCTTATACCACTAGACCAAACTATATAATCACTGAAAATCAAAATAGAAAAATTCACAGAGGGAACGCTCAATGCTGTATGGTTATAGAAAAATTTATTGTGGGATTTGAACTTGCACCCTTTCAAACTAGAGCCTACATCAAGCACCTTAAACCACCCGGCCAAACTGTCTAATTGCTTAAAATTGAAATAGAAAAATTTGAACACATACCCTATCAGATCAGAGCCTAAATTTGACACCTTAAACCAATCGGCCAAATTGTCCAATTGCTTAAAATTGAAATAGAAAAATTTACGGCAATGTTATATGGGATTTGAACCCACTCCTTTTGAACTAAAGCCTAAATCTGGTGTCTTAGACCACTCGATTAAACTGTGCCATTGCTGAAAATTTGAGATAGCTAAATTCATAATGGAAAGGACCAACGTTGTATGGTTACAAAGTGCCCTAGACTACTCGACCAAACTGTCCCAAAATATGTAAATTTAGAGAAGGAACGATCAACCGTAGGAAAAAAAGGATAGACAATTGCATAGTTCTATTTCTTGAAAAAAAAAAGATCAACCGTCGACAAATTTGGGTTCCATGGCACGTTGTGATCAAACATCTGTGCTGACAAATTTGTGAGTTTCTTCCTCCAAGATGTTCAAAAATGGGAACATTGTGTTGGCATGCCATCCATAATGGCACCTGAAAATTTCACTCAATCGTTTAATGCACTCCACACCATTGCAGTCACCCACAGACAACAGAATGGAAGACAGCTTCAAGAGTTCGTTGCCAATGGCAATATGATTTTCTCCATACAACTTCTCTAGAATCTGCAAAAGCGGGAAAGTAAGGCTCGGGTTTCATTTACTCCGAACAAAATCAAGGAAGATAGTTGAGATGGAAGTTATCTCAAATCAAATACTATAACAGCTCAAGCCCACTGCTAGTAGATATTGTCTTCTTTGGACTTACCTTCAAGATTTTTAAAACACGGCTAGAGAGAGGTTTTCACATTCTTATAAAGAATGTTTCGTTCTCTTCTCCAACCGACGTGAGTTCTCACAAAAATAGAGAAAAGGAAAAAACAAAACGTTCATGATTCGGACAAAAACGAAGTATTTTCAAACGAAACAAACCGTGCAGCTTCAGTGAGAATTCAGTTTCTATTTGGTTCGAAAGGTAACCCCTCGTGGTGGCTCATCACTCTGATGTAGCACGTTGTATGTTGCAGTCGTTTATAATGTAATTTTAAGATTCCAAATGGAACTTTATATCTTTAGAATGGTCGTCACAAAAAAGTGGAGCATATTAAAACAAGTTTTACTTTCTACAATTATATCTCCATAGAGAAAGCATACCCGAATTGATGCTTTACAATGGTCTGCTGCGAGCTCGAGTTTTCCAAGCAAACAGAAGGCCTGTGACAGATTGTCTTCAGCCTACAAGAAGTGAATCATATATCATCATTTGTAGCCAACTTAACCCGAACAAGCATCGCTTAGCTAAGGTTGCAACAAGCATTGTCCACAGAGTATCGACATAGGTATCTCTACCCATTTGAGCAAATAAAAGGAAACGACAGCATATAGTGTTCAATATCGAAACGAGAACTCACTTCTGCTATACG